GGGCATAGGTACTAGGGTGATTGGGGCAGAGAGGAGCTACAATCATTTCACATCTTCCTGGTCTAACAATGCAGCAATCTCCTAACCACCTGGGGGCCTAATAGTAGAAAGTCCCCAACCCCTATGCAAGGACATAATTAAGTAGATAGTGTCACCTACCTCATTCACTGCTGTAACAATTATTCTCTCTCCTTGGATAAGAGACTGCCATTTTGTCTAAAAGGATGACTTTTGCAATTGTGAAAGTATTTGTTCTCTTCTCCTTTTATACTTCCCTCAAACAGAGAGTGTTTTGTTATTCTGATAAAAAATGTTTCTATTTGAATTCCAAAAACTCCCCTTTTCTGCCTTAACTAATCCTCCTCTCTCTTCTGTGAAGTACTTTACTTTTCTAACCTAAGTTGCCATGGAATACTGCAGATTGGCTGCTCACTCTAAGAGGGCCTTTAAGGTACAAATCTGTACCCCAGGAATTTGAATGGCTATCAATGACAGCAGATTCCTTGGCATACTAAAAAAAATCTCTTTACTTTCAGTTTGGCCAACATTAAGTCGTTCCCCCTCCCCCCAAAATGTTATGTCACTTATGTTTTGCATCCTATGTGGGGTGAATTAAAGGCTGTCCCATATTATAAATAAAGTTAGCCTGAGTGCTTGCATAGAAGCAATGGAGCATGGCAGGTGGTGCTAAAGGCTCTTTTATCTTATCTATATAGCCATGAGCTAGATTCTGAGACTGCCTGGCTAGAGACATGAGCTAAAAAGTCATTTGATAGAAACTCCCCCAAATTAAATCCAATTCATGTAAAGACAGCTCTGGGGCACAGTAAACACAGAACCATAGGGTATCAGAGCTGGAATTGTCTCTTAGAGTTTACCTAGTCTTTTCCTTTTATAAACAAGGAAACTGAGGTCCAGAGAGGATAGCTAACTTTCTCAGGACCACAGGGTACATGTAAAAGAAAAGGTTGAACTACACAATCTCTAAGAACCCTTTCAGTTCTGACACGATGTGTTCCTCAGTGATCTTGGAATCTTAGCACTGAAAGGGACTTTAGGGATCAGTTACCCAACCTCTCACCCAGTGCGTGAAGGAATCATGCCCACATCCCTGGCAGCTGGTCATCCAGCCTCCTTGAGGAGTGCCTCACTATGCCCATTACATTTATGGACAGCTCTAGTTATTAGAAAGTCATTCTTGACATTGAGTTGAGATTTGCAACCCTGCAACTCCCACCTATTTGTCCTAGTTCTGAATAGTACAGAGTCTTCAGCACACAGATACTAGAAGACAGCTACTGCTATTTCACCAAAAATGGAGCTCTTCTTCTTAATTCCACTTGAGGGTTTTTCACAGTGGTAAGTGGAGGCACAGGGTAGCCAGGTGGCCAGCCTGGAATCAAGAAGACCTGAGTTCAAGTTGGGCCTCAGACACTTAGTAGATGTGTGACCCTGGGCAAGTCACTTTACCATGTTTGCCTCAGTTTCCTCATCTATAAAATGAGCCGGAGAAGGAAATGGCAAACTACTCCAGTATGTTTGCCAGTGTCAAGATATTAGGAGACACCCTGTTTTCCAGAGCTAAGGCCCCAGCAAGCTAGCTGTGCCCTGAGCTTGGTATAACAACAATCCTTTGCACTCACTCTCTGGATAATCTCAGCCACAGCAAAATCCCAGAATTATTTCTGGTCGTGAAGCCCTGCTCTGAATCAAACTTGTCACATTGTTGCTGTTACCCCTCACTCTCAGGGCTACAGATCACTGTGCGGCCATTGGTATAACTCAGGCCTGCACAACATATGGTCCACAGGCTGCTTGTGGCCCGCCAAAGGATTTCAGGTGGCCTGCAAAAAATGGAGAGAATGCAAAAGAAAGTAAAGATGTAACGAGTGCTTTGTCCGTGTCCCACTTAACCTGCCTTCCACCAGTCACTATTGTGCCCCTCATGTAACTTGGAGGGTGGGCTGCCATTGCGCATTCTCTCCTGTTTGTCATGTGACCTGCAGCAACCAAGCATCGTCAGTGTGTCTCTAGTCTGAGAGGTGCGAAAGCCGTATCTTTTCACTTGTTTTCAGTCATTACTAGTGTTGAACAGGAACAAAGTGAGAGCAGCCACATGCCAACGCAGCTGACGCCTGCTATACAATGAGCGGCAACAAAGCAAGGGTTTCTTCTCCTCCCTAGCTGCATGGCCACCTTCCAAGTTATATGAGTGTCTGGCGCTCTCTCCAAGGTCAGACACTCAGTGCAGTATTTCTTTGTATGTCAGCAGTTGCTCACATGGAGATTTTTTGGGGTGATTTTGTAAAATGGGTGATAAAAAGAAATGGAAGATCAAACCAGAACATAGAGCATTTAATCTGGAGTGGACAAATAGATACTTGTTTACTTACATGAGAGACAAAATATTGTGCCTTCTTTGCTCAAAGTAATAGCCTTTCTGAAGGAGAACACTGCCAATTCAAATCAAAACATCCTGACTTAAGCAAATTGGACACCAAGGAAAAACAAATTAAAGCATTCAAATTGTTGAAAAATTTCAGTGGGGAACAATGGTTTTCCAAGAAAGTAAACTCAGAAAATGAGGCAGCTACTAAGGTTAGTTTTCAGATTTCCAAACAAATTGCTGCTGCTGGCAAGTCTTTTACTGAAGGTGACCTCGTAAAGAAGTGTTTGCTGATTGCAGTTTCTGGATTATGTCCCGATTAAAAAAAGTGTTTTTTGAGGACATAAGTTTGTCCCATATGACTGTGTAATGAAGAGTAGCTGATGATAAGCTGATTGCTGACAAGAAGTATAATACGTTCCTTTAACTAAATGTAAACAGTAAGAAAACCTGAAAAATGTATTAAAACTTGTACTGCTTAGCAAAGTAATTTTTTTAACATTAATGTGATTTCACGATAAATAAAAATCTTAAGTAATAAGTGTAATTAATTGATATTAATTTGAAATTTCCCTTTTTAAAAAATATGGTTTATTTGCAAAATAGTTTAATCATTAATTATACCTTTACTTGCAAAGTGAGCCACTAAAAACCTATCTGGGGCTGGAAGAAATTTAGCCTGTTTTAATTTTGGTCCCTGCCTACTGCCAAGTTGTGAAGGTCTGGTGTAAGTATTGAGACTTCTCCATACTAAAGCAGGTTCTCTCCAGCCATTAGGGGTGGGGTTCTGGCACACGTGTCTTTGCTTGCAAGCTGTTTCCCCAACTTTGAAATTAAACTTCTGTCTGATTCCTGACTCTCTTGTCTCTGACCTGCTGGGTCAGGCTCTAGCCATCCACAGGTTAGAGGCCAGTTCTATCTGGCTGACACCAACAAGACTCCAAATGGGGTCATGAAGAGTCAGACACAACTGGAATGACTGAAAAACGGATGGAGGTACATGGGTCGTGTGGCTTTTACTTTTCCCCTTCTTCCTCCTACCCCCCATCCCCCTTCGCTCTCTCTTTCCTTCCCGCTCTTTTTTTACTCACACACACATTAGAGAATCAATGAAATTAGAGACAAGAGAAAGGGACATAATAGCTTCCGTGTATACGGCATCCTTTGCCACGTCCCTCCCCCAAGAAACTTCCCCACATGGTCTCTCATCCCCCCACCCCTACAGTCCATTACCTCAGGAAGATTGGCTCTGGTCAGAGTTTAAATAGCAGACTAAGACATAAGCACAGCTTCTAATAACTAGTAACTTCTTTCTGTAATGCAAAGATGCAAGGGGGTGGGGCCGGCATGGAGCAGTTTTGGATGAGGCTATAATAAACACAGGACCATAGATTATCAGAGCTCAGAGCTAAAAAGTACTTTTTTTAAGTACTAAAAGTACTAAAAAGTACAGTCCCATTTTATTCTATGTATAAGGAAACTGGGCAGCTAAGTGGGACAGTGGATAGAGTGCAGGGTCAGGAGTTAAGAAGACTCATCCTGCTGAGTTCAAATCTGACCTCAGATACTTCCTAGCTGTGTGACCCTGGACAAGTCATTTCACCCTGTGGGCCTCAGTTTCCTCATCTGTAAAATGAGCTGGAGAAGGAAATGACAAACCACTCGAGTGTCTCTGCCAAGAAAACCCCAAACGGGGTCATGAAGAGTCAGACATGACTGAACAATAACAAAGGTTATTTGCTCCGGGCCATAGATATAACTAGTAAGCAAAAGAACTAAAACTAAAACTCATGCTTTCTGACTTCTGACCCCGTGCCAAGAAAGTCCCCTGGAGATGGCGGCTGTGGCACTGAAGCAGAGCTGAGGTTCTTGGGAGGTCAATTATCTCAGCACAAAGAACAAACAGATCAACAAAAAAACCACAGAGCCACTTTATTTCCAATTCCAAGCATCAGGTTCAGTTAGAAAACCATGGAAGGGAAGGGAAGGGACACATTAGCAATTGCCATCTCATGACCCCATGAGCAAGGAGCCCTGAGTTTGGGGCAGGGAGTCACTAAGTCTTGGGATTGGGCTAAAGGAGTCCCTGGGAAAGAAGAGGCAGCCTGCAGCTGGGGGAAGAGGTGGGAAGCAAGGCAATATTAAATGATGTTTCTGTATCTGCTTCATCTACTCAGTGGCCTAAGAATTAGAGAAGGCTGATTTCTTATTTCCCTGCCCTCCTCCCAAAGGACGTGCTCCCCCACAAAAATCACCTTGTATCTATTACCCATCTTGTATATAACTACATACATATATATGTGTGTGTGTGTGTATACATATATATATATATAAACATATATATATACATATATATATATAAACATATATATATATATATATATACATATATATATTCTGACTCCCCTCCTCTCTCCGATAGAATGTAAACCCCTTGAGGGAGTTTCACTTCTTCCTCTGTATTCTCAGTACCTAGCACAGTACCTGGCACATAGTATAGGCACTTAATAAATGCTTGTTAATTTGATAGTGCAAGGCAGAGCACAAGGCAGGGGTAGAAGTTCCTGGTGGGACCAGGGTGAGGCAAAGGAAAAGGGTCTAGGGGGCAAATGAATGATTGAAAAGATTGTAGTTTAATGGCAGGGAAGGTCACTGAAGAAGCTGGACGTAATTTGCTGGGAAGAGGCCAAAATGACCGTGGCAACGTCCCCGCCACCAGCCCTCATCTATCATCTCGATGTCAGTGATGGTGTCATCTGGGTCAAAGGATATCTCATCGCTGCCCTCTGTGGAAGAAATTGAAAGAATCCTCAGTCCCAATTAAGAAGGGGACTTTCCCTTTCCCTCTGTTCTCCCCAACCTACTCCACAAGGAAAATGAGTCTGGCCTTCTCCCCCAATCCACACCTTGGGAAAGTTAATCTCAGGTACCATATAGTTGCTCATAGGCTCCAACCCCAGGGCAGTTCATCCCCAAAAGTGACCTACCTCCTTGGTAATCATACAGGGCAATGGCTGAGATCCCTGTTGATCCAGACTTAGTTCCAATGCCAGCAGTTCCTACACAATAAGGGAAACAAATAGGGCAATATCAATGCTTGTCAGGGAAGAGGGATGGCTTTGGAGAAGAAAGGTTGAGGAAGAACTGGTAACTGGACTTCCCACACAGTTCCTAACTAATCAACAAGTATTTATTAAGTACTTGCTATGTATTGGGCACTGGGGATGAGAGGACAAAGAACGAAACAAACCATACTTCCAATGACTTACATTCTAATGGGGAAGACAACAAATATATTTATATATTGAGAAAGAGAAAGAGAGAGAGAGAGAACATAAATATAATGCTGATAAGTACAGATATATACAAAAGAGTTAAATGCAAAGTAGTCTGGGAGGGAGGGTAAGGGAGTGTGCTACTGGTTGAGGAGGTCAGGCAGTGATGTGCTACTAAATGTGTAACAACCAGTTCTTAGGGCAGGGGTCTATGCATGACACAGTTTTAAGTTTAATCTATATATTAGCATTTTCTTAAGTCTAGACAACCAACAAAACAATATCAGTCAAATTCTGATTTGTAGTGTTTGCTGATTTCTAAGGTGTGAATGCTTATACCCAAAATTTAACAAGAGCAAACCCCCGGATGAAGAAAGGCTTCCAACGGAAGATGATGCCTACGCTATCTACATCTCAAAGAAGAGAGGGATTCTCTAAAGCAGTAAGGGGAAATGCATCAGGTTTGTGGGACAGCCAATGCAAAGACTAGAGATGTTCTGAGTGAGAAATGAAGAGGTCAGTTTGCCTGGATCACAGAGTGAGAGAGAGGAATAATGTCCAATGAGGCTGGAAATACAGGTTGGGGCCAGGTTATATAGAACTGTAAAAGCTAAAGGGAGGAGTTTATCCTAGAAGCAATAGGAGACCACTGGAGCTGATGAAGTAGGGGAGTCATATGGTCAAACTGGCACTTAAGAAAAATAATTTTGACAGTAGCATGTGGGATAGACTGGACAGGTGAGCGATTAGAGGCCAGGAGACCCATTAGGAGGCTGTTGTAATTACTGAGGTGAGAGGTAAGGAGTGCCTGAACAGAAGTGGTAGCTGTGTCAGTGCAAGGAAGGGGTCAGATGTGAGAGGTGCTGTGGAGGTAGAAATCTCAGGCTCCCAAACTCACCAGCCGAATGGGAAGGCTCCAGGACATCCTCGTAGTCACCTTCTGCATCTTCTTCACCCTGTTGTGCGACATCCTCATAGTCATTCTCTTCGCCTCCACCCAGGTCTGGTTTTTCCAACTCCATCACAACCTCATAGTCATTCTCAGGCTCCAGCTCGTGTGTGGCCTCTGGCTCTGGCTCTGGCGGTGTTTGATAGACTGGCTCCTCCAGGGTCTGGAACCTATCAGGAGTCCTGGGGGGCAGAGCTGGGGGCTCCTCGTTATCTGGCCACTCATTGTCCTGAGAGAAGAGGAAAGCACAGAAAGCTCCTCTCTTTCACCTCAGAGATCAGGATAAATTCCACTCCCTGCTCCACCATTTCTCCCCATAATCCTGCGATTGTCTTTTCCTGCTAATCAAATCCATCCTTGACCCTTTAACAAGCTGGTCCAACCCCTCATTCCCAACTATGTGTATATCCACCTAGAGCATAGTTAGAGCAGTGGGATGGGGAGGGAAAGGGGAAATTTACTCAGCCTCTGGAGATGAAATCAGGGATTATAAACAATTGTGCCAAGGGAAAGAGCTGCTAATGCTACCAATAAAAAAGATTCCACTCACCTCTGGGGGAGCCCTCTTTGAGGGCAGGGTCGGCACTGGAGGAAGCTCTTTGTGTGTTGCTGTGGGTGCTGTCTTGGATGGCGGGCAGCTCTCTACCTGAGACCTATCCTGAGGAGGACAGAGCATTATTCTAGTTTACTTCCTCTCCCATCAAATTCATGCCTTGAGCTTTTTGGCCCATCTCCTCACCTGGAATGCCCTCTTCCTCTTTTCTGTCCCCTTTTCTAAATCTTACCCATTCTTCAAGACCCAGCTCAAATCCTGTCTTCCCTGATGACCCCAGCCCCCAGTGATTTGGGAACTTAAATGGTATTTAATAGATGGAGAATGTGACAAGCAGTACAACAGAAAGAGTACTGACTCACGTGCTGGGTTCAAATCCTACTTTCATATTTACTACCCACGTGCCTTTAAACAAGCCACCTAACTTTCCGGTGCCTTATTGTTGTTGGGTTTTGGTTTTTTTTTTTTGGTCATTTGTAAAATGAGAAGATCAGACTAGTTAGTTTCTGAGGTCTCATCTAGCTCAACATTTATGATCCTATGACACAATTAATTGTGAACAGCTTCTTCTATTGCTATCTGCCAGGAGTTCTCCTGAGTTCAAATCCAGCTTCAGACACTTACTAGTTATGTGACCCTGGACAAGTCACTTAACTTCTGTTTGCCTCAGTTTATTCATCTGTAAAATGGGAATAATAACAGCACCTAACTTCCAGGATTGTTATGAGAATCAGATGAGATAATAATTGTAAAGAGGTTAGCATAGTGCCAAACACATGATAGGTACCATATAAATGTTAGCTGTTGTTATTATTATTACTGTACTGTCATTTATACCTTCAATTGTTATTTAACTTTTAATGGATCTAAAGAGTGATGAACTTGGAGTCAGAAAGACTTAAATTCAAATCCCGCCTCAGACACTTCTTCTCTTTATAACCCCAAATCACTTAAGCTCAGTTTGCCCCAATTTCCTCAACTGTTAAATGGAGAAAATAATAGTATCTACCTCCCAGAGCTGTTGTGAGAATCAAATAAAATAATGTAGATACAGCACTTGGCAAATCCCAAAGTATTACATAAATTCTAGCTATTATCTCCCCAACTAAACTAAAAGCTCTTTGAGGGCAGGAACCTTCTCTATTCACCTATGCCTTGCAAATAATAGGTGTAGTGGATAGAGTGCCAGACCTGGAGTCAGGAAGACCAGGGTTAAACTCTGGCCTCAGACATTTACCAGATGTGTGACCCTGGGCAAGTCACTTAACTCTGTTTGCCTCAGTTTCCTAATATGTAAAAGGATCTGGAGAAGGAAATGGCAAACCACTCGGGAATCTTTGCCAAGAAAACTCCAAAAGGGGTCACAAAAAGTCAGACACAACTGAAAAACGATTAAACAATAACAAATATTTTGTTCCAGTATGCCTTGGGTAAGGTGATCTAGATGCGAGGGAAGCTTACCTCCAAGGGGGTTTTCTTGGGAACCAGAGTAGGCACTACAGGCTTCTTTGACACCACCTTTCGTTCTGGGGGTTTCTCTTCTGCCCGCTTCCTGTTCTCTTCTGCCATGGATTCAAATTTTGCCTTCAGTCCACGGGCCCCACTGGAAGCTATCCACAAGGGAAATGGCATTAGGGTTGAACGAAGGTGGTAATGGGGCATGCCATATCAAAGGGTGGTGATCCATGAGATATGATAAAACAGAAAGGACGAAGAGGGGTCTGCAAACCTGGAGTGGTTTCGAAAGGGGAATGTGAAGGTGTGGACCTCAAGACCATCTCCTTAGAGCCACAACTTGCCCTAAACCTGCACCCCTTCCTATGTCTCTGCAAACCTGAAAGATCCATCCAAATTTTTCTTGCCCACACCTCATTCTTCTCTCCCCCAAATCTCTTTTCTCAGTCACCCTAAAACTCCTATCCCTCATTGTCCACACTCTTCAAATCAGCATCCCTCCCTGGTGCCCTCCTAGGCTACAATTTCGTCTTTATCTTGCCAATCAAATCCCCATCCCTTACAGTTCACTCTTCGTGGGTCCCATTGTCTCCAGCTCTCACCTCCTCCTGCAAGCCTCTTTTGATATCCTTGATCTGGCTAGCCCAGTGAGAAGAACCCAGAGGCAGCGAGGTGATAACAATAAAATCTGAGAATGTACTTCTAGGCTAACCTTCCTAACCCAAATAGGAATCAGTTCTATAGTATCCTTCAATTTAATTCAATTCAATTTAACATTTATAAAAATTAAACATTTACAAATGAAATATAAATTAAATATTTATAAAATGGCTAGTATGCACAAGATAGCTAGGTGGTACAGTGCATAAAATTCAGGAACTTGGAGTCAGGAAGACTTGAGCTCAAATCTAGCTCAGACACTGTGACTTTAGAAAAGTCATTTAATTCTGTCCACCTCAGTTTCCTTCTCTGTAAAATGGGGCTAATAATATCATCTACCTCCTGGTTGTTGGGAGGATAAAATCAGACAACATTTGTAAAACTCTTTGCAAAACTTAAAGTGCTGTTATTACTATTATTATACAAAGATTAAATACTAAATATCATCATATAATAAAATGTAAGTACAACATTGTACAATATAATATACATATAATAATATCATACATAATATAAATATTATAATAGTTATATAGTCATATAAATTATTTAACATTATAAGATTTATTTAAAGCTATTTTATTTAAGTTAAAATGATTTAATTTTATTAAAATTAAAATTATTAAATATTATCATACAAAGATTAAAAACTAAATAGTACCTGCCTCTACTTGAAGACTTGCAGTGATAGAGAACTCCTTATTTCATTTTTGAACAATGATATTAGAACATCTTTCTTATGCCCAATTGAAATTGGATATTCTGTACCTTCTACCTATTAGTCTTAGTTCTGTCTACTAGAATGATGAGTAATAAATATAATCCCTCTTCCAAATTAGGAGTGAGGCTAAGGGCTACCTAACCTGATCTGGATGAGAGGGTAAGGGTGAGCAGAGGATGGAAAAGTTGCTAGATCCACAGGGCAAAGAGAATGAAGAGGTTGAAAGGATATTCGATTGGGGGTGGAGGAGGAACTTAGTTCTAAAAACTCACCAGCCTCTGTGGGTGTGGTTTTCTTATAAGCTGAAGTGGGAGCTTCCATCTCACTAAAACTGGCCGCACTCTACGGAAAGAAAAGGGGGAGGGGAATAAAAGCTGCCCCAGGAGACGTGTGGTCCAAAGCTTGGAACATTTAGGACCTTCTCAGGTGAAATCCCTGGATAGATGAAGTTCCAAAGTGGGATGGGGACCGATGTCCCAAATTTTGGGATATGTATGGTGCAGTTCTGGACTGCTGGATGCTCCTGAGTAGCATGCGCGCATGTGCGCACACACACACGTGCACACACACACACACACACACACACTCCAAATCTCACATCGTTAAAGAGGGTCAACCTCAAATTAAGTGAGAGGCACTGGTGGGTGGTAAGGAGGAGGAGGTCAGGACAGCCATGTGAGCTGAGGTCAGGAAGGATATTCACAGGATTGAAACCATAGTGTGAGTGTGATATAATCTTCTCCTCTCTTCCCTTGGGTGTTGTCTCCCTTATTCCTCCAAGGTCAGTCCCCCAACCCCAGTCAAAACCAGGACTTCTGACCAACCCACCAGAGCCCAGAGCCAAGAAGTATAAAAGAAGGATCAGAAAGGAGTCCAGAGGTGGAGGTCTTGCCCTTTGACTGAGCACAGAGTGATAGACACAGGAGTACTATCATCAACACTTTCCCCTGTCCCCTCTCCATAGCATTATCCCTGTCATCACTCTTGGTATAGTTTGGAGGAAACCCCCTTCGTACAAGGAGTCTCTTACCTTGTCTACTCGGTCCCTCTCTACCCCATATTGACCACCAAAGCCTTTGGCATAATCTGCAGAAAAAAGGAGTCCAGGAGTCAGACCCAAGAGACAAAGCCAAAGAATGGGGAACAGAGATGGGAGAGAGGGAGAAATATGGAGAACAGTAAAAGATAGATAGGGCATGACCATCAGAGGCTTAGGACTAGAGAGAAGAAGGCATGGGTGAAGAGATTGGAACATGGATTGAGAAAAGGAAATGGGGGCCAAAAAAGTTAGATGGGGACAGGAAGAAAGAGATAAGGGATAAGAATAGAGGTAAGGATAGGAAAGGGTACACATCCCTAACCCTGGCCCACCATGTCTACCCCCACATTCCTCAGCAACAGTTTCTCAGTATCTCTCTCATGGGACTGTTAAGGAGGATAGTGGCCCAGTATTTCCCTTCTTGCTTAATTGTATTTGTCTTACTGTCTTTGGTTTGATTTGTTTGTTTGGTTTGGGAGAGGAGAAAGGAGTGGTTTAGACCTTTGATTTTATGACTACAGGCTACTCTCCATGTAATCATTCTCTTCACTGATGCAAATCCGTAACTTGTCTGAACTTTATAGTCTTAGAGATAAGTCTGGGGCAATGAGAGATTAATTGTCTTAACTCCTATCATTCTCATGAGGGGCTGAGGTAGTATGGTATAGTGGGTAGAGAATTCATCCGTAGTCAAGAAGACCTGGGTTCAAGTCTTAGTTCTGATACACAATGATAGTGTGTCTCTGAGAAAATCATTTAACATCTCAGTACTCAAGACAACTCTCTTAAGACTATAATTTGCAAAGGGCAGCTAGGTGGTGCAGTGGATACAGCACCGGCCCTGAAGTTGGGAGGACCTGAGTTCAAATTAGGCCTCAGACCAAACACTTGACACTTACTAGCTGTGTGACCCTGGGCAAACCACTTAACCCCAATTGCCTAAAAACTAAAAAAAAAAAATTAATATAATTTGCAGTGCTGCCCATATGCATTGGCAGAGAGAGTTTTCAGTTAACTGGGAGAAAATAATCTTCACAAGTTTCTCTGATAAAGGTCTAATGCCTAAGATATGTAAGGAAGTGATTCAAATATATGTGAGTGACAGACATTCCCAATAGATAAATGGTCAAAAGATAAAAACAGGAAGTTCTCAAAGAAAGCAGTCCAAGCTGTCAACAACCATATGAAAAAGAGGTCAAATCATTAATAATTAGCTGAATGAAAATTAAAACGACTCTGAAATTCTACCTCATATCTATCAGATTGGTGAAAATGGGAATTGATGGAAGGGAAGTGGGAAGATGGGCACACTGGTACACTATTGGTGGAGCTGTGAATAGGCCCAGTTATTCTGGTATATAATTTGGAATTATGCCTCAAAGTCACTAAACTGTGGATATTCTTTTTTTCAATAATAGCATTACTAAACTGATACCCTTAAGAGACGAGAGAAAAAGGAAAAGGACCCGTATGAGCACAAATATGTATAGCAGTCCCTTTTTTGTAGCAAAGAACTGGAAATAAAATGGCTCCCAATCAACTGGAAATAGCTGAACTAATCATGGTATATTAATATGATAGCATATTATTTCACTATGAGAAATGACAAAAGGAATAGTTTCAGAGAAACTTGGGAAGATGTATATAAACTGATGCAGAGTAAAGTGAGCATAGCCTGAAAAACAATTTACACAGTAACAGCAGCATTGTAAAGGAAAATAACTTTGAAAGACTTCAGAACCTTGACTAACCATGATGAAAAGACACACTGATGAAAGTAGAGGAGATTCCCCTTACCACAATTTGCCTATAACAATTAAACTCTGGGGTGCACTCAGACACAAACAATAAAAAAATCTATATTTCATGAAGTACACTGTTGATTTGAGAGTGCTTGTATTAAATTTACTTCATTCTACTTGCTTCAGGCACCAAAATTGCCTGAAAATTGGTTCTGAGGAGGATTGGAAGTACGTGGAAAGAGGGACTTCTGCAGCTTATCATATGACTTTATTATTCTGTTTCTAGTTCCCTTACTCACTGCATTACTCAGTCACTCCTCAGTACCACTCCTTGCTGCATCTATATTCATTCCTGCCTCTTATTATTCCCTTAATTTCCATCTCCCTCCTAAATCAACTTCCTTGCCCACCTCATTTCTCCTCTACTCTCCCATCTAATCATCCCACTCCACCCATTCTTATTAACCATCTCACATCATATTCTTCCTTCCACATTCCCATCTCTAACAATTTCAAGCATGGAATTCTCCCCGTGCTTTTAGGACACCCACTAGGGTAGCTTCAGGAGCAGAGGTAGTCTGTCCCATTTGTTTTAGCCCCTCAATCTCTCAATCCCAATCCCTCAATCCTCCCCAAATTCTGCTCTAGTTTCCTTTCAGTTCCTTTTGGCCTTTCAATCTCTCCAACTCACCTGTCTGGGACTCATGTTTTTCTGTCTCTCCCTTGTAGTCATAGCCAACAGCTGCCTTGTCCAGTTTATCCTTCTCTACCCCATAGCGACCACCAAAGCCCCGGGAGTAATCTGTTGAATGAGAGGGACATGTCAGACTTTTCAGCACATCTCAAGCATAGAAAAGAATTCAGTCAGAGAAAGCAAAATGGGAATGGGCCCAAGGGAAATGGGGGAGAGAATGAACTAAGTGGGTGCTTATGGGACAGAGCATTGTCCAAGTGGAGGAGGGAGTGTGGAGGGAGGGGGTATGGCATGCCCAGGCTTCTTCTATCAGTTTGAGTTCAGGTGCCTCACCTCTAATTTAGTGCAAAGCACCCTTTCCACCCCCTTCTTATTCTGCCCTTTCCTTTTGTTCCTTTTTTCCCTCCCATTCTTCTGAACATGTGGTGGGCAAATCATTCTAAGCATTCTCTCTCCCCAGCCCCTCCACAAAGTTTTGAAACCTAGAGATAAGTCAGGACACAGTCATGGGCATAGTAAGCTCCTTGAGGGAAGGAATGGGTCCATTTATTTTTGTATCCCCAAAGCCTAGCTCAGTTCCTGGCACTGTGCAGGCACTTGATGCACTGAAGCCATCAATGGTATAGACTTCTGAAAGCTGAGATGGGAAAGGAGAAGGCACATTGAGGCAGGAAGAGGTGTGGGACATATGGTGAAGGGTTCTTGCCTTTCTGAGATGTGTGTTTCTCCACTTCTCCTTTGTAATCAAACCCAACTGCTGACTGGGGAGGAACAAGAGAGATTTAATCAAAGCATCATCTGCCAAACACACACATTCTCTACCTCCCATCTTCTAGTACTACTCCTTGCCAAGCATTAGATTACACTGTGAGGGGTTCAAGCATAGGGGAGGTATAGGATGGTTATTATGGACATGCTCCCTCACATCACCAGACTCAAGTTCTTACAAGGTCATCATCATGGAGTGGTTTGTGGGTACTCTAATAGCCCACATCTCAAATTCCTTAATCTGCCACCCAAGGTCCCCCATCATCTGGTTCTATCTTCCTTTCCAGCCTTATTTCATTCAACTCCCTTTCACACACTCTATGCTTCTACCAAACTGTACCACTTTTGGTTTACAAAGTTGCCCTGTCCTTTGCAATCACTACATATTTTCATACCCTGTTTCCCAAGCCCTGAATATACTTCCCTCTCTCTTCCTATAAATATTCTTCTTCTGTCTCAGGGTCCACTTGACACATCATCTCCTCCATGAAGCCTTCCCTGATTCCCACTAGCTAGAAGTGATTCCTCATTCTTGAAATCTCTTGGAACCCTTGGTCTGATCTTAAGTTGATGCACTTAATTATATTCTAACTTGCAGTGTAGCTATTTGTGTTGATCTTATTTTCCTTGGTAACTTGTAAAGTCCTTGATACCAGACTGTCATTTTTTTATCCATTTATCCCATGTGCTTTGCACAGAATATGTAAGTAATAAATAAATATTTGTTGAGTTGATTTGATCAGAATTGACTCAATGCAAGGCCTGCCTCTTCTGACTTTGAGCTTCTCACTGTCCAAAATGTCTTTTGACTTCTTCTGCTTGATAGTTGTCAATGGAAGTGCTAACAGATTTCCTTGAGGAACTCACTGGGATGACAGTGATAGAGAAATTCTAGGTGAAGGCTTGATCCATGGCTGGGTAAAATTGAGGAGTGTAAACTGCCCTCTCCCCAGCTACCTCAATACCAAAGGGTACCTTAGCAAGGTCTAGCAGGAACTACCTCAGTCAATCATAGATATTTAATGAAGCTTGCTTTATTTACATAGTTAGAAGATACATGGATCTGGTTCTGGACATTTTAGGCAGTGTCCCATCCATTGTCCACACAGCTGAATGATGTTTCCAATGCATAGTCCTGACTATGTCATCTCCGTACTCAATGAACTCCAATGGCTCCCTATTACCTTTGGGATCAAAACCCAAACTATTTTGTATGCCATTTAAAGCGCTTCACAACCTGCCCCCTTCCAATCTTTCCAGGCTTATTCTATGTTACTGCCTTCTACAATTTCAACAATCTGACCAACCAGCCTTACTTGCTTTTCCTCACACTTGGCACTGTTCAATCTCTTAGCTCTGTGTCTTTGCCCTGGTTGTCTCCATACCTGGAATACTCTGCTTCCAAACCTCTGTCTCTTAAAATCTCTAGTTTTCTTCAAAATTTAGCTCAAATTACACTTTCCATAGGAGGCTTTTCCCAGTTCTCATATCTAATAGTGCCTTCCCTTCTAAGGTTACATTTCATCTATATTGTATGCATCCTATGTATACATGCTGTCTCCCCCACTAGAATACAGGACAGAGAATGTATAGTGCAGTTTAGCCTGAATCTCACATCTTCAAAGTCAGGCAACCTCAGATGAAGTGAGAGACGCTGAGAGGTGACAGGGAAGGAGAGGTCAGTATGGCCAGCTGAGCTGCAGTCAAAGAGGCCATTCTTATAGCTGCCAGGATAGGTGTGATGGAGACTCTGATTAGATTAGACAACCAAAGGTAAAAGATCCATGGGGTAGTGTGATACAACCTTCCCACACCTGCCCTTGGGGATTGCATCTCCCTCACTCTTGTATGCCCACTCCCCCCAAAGCCAAGACTTCTGACCAAGCCACCAGAAGCCAGAGCCAAGGAGAGTAAATGAAGGAGCAGAAAGCGGTCCAGAGCAGAGAGGGTATCCTACCACTTAACTGAACAAAAGGTGACAAACATAGGAGGCCAGTAATGAGTACTTTCTCCTGTTCTCCCTCCCTAACACCATCTCCATCAACACTCTTGGTATAGTTAGGGAGGAATCCCCTCAGAGCAAAGGGGTGTCTTACCTTGTCTACTCGGTCCTTCTGTACCCCATATTGACCACCAAAGCCTTTGGCATAATCTGAAGAACAGAAAGGTCCAGGAGTGAGACCCACAAGACAAAACCAAGGAATAGGGAAGAGAGATGGAGAGAAAAGAAAGGAATATGGAGGACAGGAAGAGATAGATAGGGCATGACTGTGAGAGGCTTGTGCTTAGAGAGAAGAATGTACAGATGAATTGATGGGAATATGGATTGGAAGAATGAAAATGGGGCAAAAAAAAATCAGATGTAGATAGGCAGAGACAGAGAGTCAAGGATAGGGAGCTTGCTCACCCCCACCACAAGAAACCTTCCCAACAGAGGCACTTTGCTGTCTTAGGGTCTCCTCTATGAGGTCAATGTGGTAAACTCCCTTTATATGGGGGCTGGTGGCCCAGCATTACTTCTCTGCTCAGCTGTACTTTTCTTGATATTTTTGTTCGGGGCAGGGTGCAGTTCAGATCTTTGATTACATGAATGTCGGATACTCTCAGTACCCTACTGAATGTAGTTGAAACTCCCTCCACTGATAAAAATCAGCAATTGTAGGAGCAATGAAAGGTTAATTGCTTTAATTACTCTTATTATTTCCATGAGAGGTAAAAACAGTGTGGTATAGGCAACAGAGAACCTTGCTGGAGTTAGGAAGACCTTAGTTCAAGTCCTACCCCAGATACATACTGGCTTTCTACGCCCGGATAGGCAGCTAGGCAGTGGATAGTGTTGGATGTGGAATCATGAATTCAAATCCTAATTCAGATAGTTGCTTCCTGTGTGACCCTGGGCAAGTCACTTAACCTTTCTCAGCCTCATTTTCCTCATTTCTAAAATGGGGATAATAACAGTACCTACTTCACAGAGTTGTTGTGAAGAACAAATGAGATAACATATACAAAGCACTTTGCAAACTTTAAAGTATTATAGAAATGCTAGCTAGTAGTAATAGTAGTAGTAGTAGTAGCAGTGCTGGTGGTGGTGGTAGTAGTAGTAGTAGCAGCAGTAGTAGTCAGTCAGTGCCCAGGTAACTTTCTAAGTTTATAAGTTGCAGATAACACAGTAATCTGTGTTGGTAGAGGGGTATCCTCACCAGAATTTCCCTATACCAACAAAATCATAGCTCATAAAAAATTTTTCTTGTCATGAAGTAAAATATAGATTTTAAATTTTTTGCTTTAGGTGTATTTCAGTCTACTTGCTACTTACGGTTCCAGGTAGGATGGAGAGCAGAGGGAGAGAGTGAGGTAGAGGTAGAAGTGAGCCTGAGAGTATCAGCCACTCATTCTGTCCCTTGCTCCCTAATCTCCTTGTTCCCACTTTGTTATCTTCAGGACTACTCCCTCATCTATCATCATTCCTTTCTTCCTTCCTTCTTTTCTTTCTTTCTTTTCTCCTTCTTTCTTTCTTTTTTTATTTCTTTCTTTCTTTCTTTTCTTTCTTCCTTTTTTCTTCCTTTCTTTCCTTTCCTTTCCTTTCCCTTATTTTCCCCTCCCTCCTAGGTCTTCCTCACTCTCCCTGCTCACATAACTTCTCATCTTCTCCCCCGTCCAATCATCCCACTCCACCCATTCTTATTAACCATCTCACATCATATCCTTCCTTCCACATTCCCATCTCTAACAATTTCAAGCATGGAATTCTCCCCGTGCTTTTAGGACACCCACTAGGGTAGCTTCAGGAGCAGAGGTAGTCTGTCCCATTTGTTTTAGCCCCTCAATCTCTCAATCCCAATCCCTCAATCCTCCCCAAATTCTGCTCTAGTTTCCTTTCAGTTCCTTTTGGCCTTTCAATCTCTCCAACTCACCTGTCTGGGACTCATGTTTTTCTGTCTCTCCCTTGTAGTCATAGCCAACAGCTGCCTTGTCCAGTTTATCCTTCTCTACCCCATAGCGACCACCAAAGCCCCGGGAGTAATCTGTTGAATGAGAGAGAGATGTCAGACCTCTCAGTCCACCTCAGTCAGAGAATGGAAAGTGTGAATTGGCCCAAGGGAAATGGGGGAGAGAATGAACTAAGTGGGTGCTTATGGGACAGAGCATTTTCCAAGTGGAGGAGGAAGTGTGGAGGACAGGGTATGACATGTCCAGGTTTCTTTATCAGTTTGAATTCAGCTGCCTTACTTCTAATTTAGTGCAAAGCACTCTTTCCACCCCCTTCTTTCTCTGCCCTTTCCTTTTGTTCCTCTTCTCCCTTTCCTATTCCCAAACAACTTTAGGGAAGCTACCTGAATTATCCCTCCACTCCTCACCCTCTAGAGTGTTTGAAAATCTAGGGATAAGTCAGGACACAGGGCATAGAAATAGTAGGTTTTTTGAGGCAGGGGCAATTTCATTTTTGTCTTTTTATTCCCAACATCTAGAAAGGCAGCATAGAAAAATGGATAGAAAGCTGACCTTTATGAGAGGAACACCTGACACATACTGGCTATATGACCCCAGGCAAGTCATTTAACTTCTCAGTGAATTTACTGAAAAATGACCAACCTCTATTGGTGAAGAATATTCCTCATTTGAAAACTGCTTATGTCAATGAAATCACGGGTCTAGCCTCATCCCTAACCCATCCCCAAAGCCTAGCATAGTGACAGGTAAACAGCAAGCACTTAATAAATGCTTATTGACTGATGATGCAATAAAACCATAGCTGGTATGGACACCTGAAAGCTAAGTTGAGGAGGGAGTTGGCAAGTCAGGGCAGAGGTGACCATAAGGAAGAGATACAGGACTGATAGGGAAGGTTCCTTGCCTTTCTGAGATGCGTGTTTCTCCACTTCTCCTTTGTAATCAAACCCAACTGCTGACTGAGAAGAAAGAAGGAAGATTTAATCAAAACATCAACTGCTAAACACATACATCCTCTTTTTCCCACCCTCTTATTCCACTCTCTGCCAAAGATTGGCCTGTGAGGGGTCCCCAGCACTAATGAGGCCTTACTGGGGGAGAGGAGGGTATCCTGACCTGTAGGTACTACCCTACCCTATCTTTAGATTCAAGTTCTTACAAAATCAGCATCACAGAGAAGTTTGTAGGGTCTCTAATGTCACACATCTCAAATTGCTTTATCTGTCATCCAAGGCCCACCATAACCTAGTGCTAAATTCCTTTCTAGCCTTATTTCAGATAACTCCCTTTCATGCACCCTTTACTCCTGCCAAAATGGACTGTCTATCCCTTTACATTTTCACACCCTATTTCCCAGGCTCAGAATGAACTTCCCTTATGTCTCTGGCTACCAACAGTCTTTTATTTCAAGGTCCAGTTTACATTCTACCTCCAAGAAGCCCTCTCTGATTCCCACCAGTGATCCCTTTGAATCTATTGGGATGCTTACTTTAAGCTCTCATCCACTTGGTTTATGTACTAGGCTGGTTGGTACATGGATTTGATTTGGGCGTATTTAGGCAAGGCATCTCAATCACATCCATTACAGGGCAGCCAAAGTAATTTTCTTTAAGCACAGAGGTATGATTATGTCATTGCTCAATTTAAACTCCATTAACTCATTCTTATATCTAGGATGAAATGAAAGTTCCTCTAGTAGGCATTTGAAACTCTTCACAATCTGATCCTTTCCTATCCTTCGCATGACAGGCTTATTATACATGACTGTGCTCCATGAACTTAGCAGCACAGCCATACTACCCTACATGTTGTTCCTCACATACAACCATTCATCTCCCACCTCCATGCTTTTGTACTGACTGAACCCTATACCTGGAATGCTCTCTCTCTTCATCTCCATCTTTTAGAATCCCTAGCTTCCTTCTAGGCTCAGCTCAAACACCAGCCTCTACAGGAGACTGTACCCAAGTACCTTCCACCCTACGGACACCTTCCATCTAATCTGTATGTATCTTTGTACATACCTCGTTTTGCACATGTTGTCTCCCTCATTAGAATGTAAGCTTCTTGAGGGCAGGGATATGTTTGTTTTATTCTTTCTATCCTCGGCACTTGACATAGTGATAAGATGGCACATGATAATGCTTAATAAATGATTTCTGTATTTATTGAACCATTATCCCTAGGTACCTCCTGGAACTTCCTCTCCCCCCACCCCCATACCCAGGATCCTTTTCCAGACCTAGACTGTATGCTTCAGTAGTTAGACAGAGATGCGTATATTCCAGTCATGTATTTTATATGCTTCCTGGGGAAGCAAAGGGTATCCCTTACCTTATCTGCCCGGTCTCTCTCAACTCCATATTTGCCCCCAAACCCTTTAGCAGCATCTGTCTGAGATGAGTGCTTCTCCACATCAGCAACATACTCATGGCCCAGTGCACTCTGCAAAGGCCAAGAAGAGAGTCAAAATCAACACAAACAGGAACAGAAACAAATAGGAAGATATAGGGCAAGGAACAAGCAGGCAGAGACAGGACTAGCAAAGATGAAATGTAAAAACACACACCAAAATTCTAGCCTGTGTCAGACTCTTGGTCCATGTAAGTGGGGTGGAAGCCTCTCTTGCAGGAGGATCCCATTGTTTTGGGTGCATCCCTTTTTTATGCTTGATCTAATCTTCCCTTGCCCCTCGACCTTTCGTAGAACATCCCCACCCCTATTGCCTATAAACTCCCTTGCTTCATCTTTATAAGGAAGGAACATCACTAATGAATCCCCAGCATCTCCCTTCTTGTGACACTTGAGCAAGAACTTGGCCCTTGAAATAAAACTCATGGCCCTTGGTTGCCTCTTCAAAATTCTCTGTTGTGGAGAGGATGTTGTGGAGAGTCTTCCTGCAAGACTATTGATGATACCCCTCCCTCCTGTGCAGACTTGAAGATCATCACATATTTCCTGTAGCATCACTTCCCTGCTGTGGTTTGGAGGTTGTCAGGATAGTGTCCTAATCACTGGGACTAATGTGTGAAGATTGAGAATTACCCTGGCTGTCTCCTTTCCTTGCTGCCCTGCCCTTATGTGTGCCAAGCCATCCCTTGTGAGAGTGAAAAGGCCAACAGTTTTATCTATTTACCACCTGGAGAGGTAGCAGGATGGTAGTGAATAATCAGGAAGACATGAGTGTTGGAGTCCCATCTCTGCCATGGACTATGTGACCCTGGTCCAGTCACTTCTCAACCTCCAGGCAACTCTCTAATAAGAGCATTTATATCTCGCCTAAAGGTCTGAAAAAGCACTTTACATGTGTTGATTTATTTGATCCTCACAACAACCCTGGGAGGTAAATGTCATTATTATTTCCATTTTCCAATTGAGAAAACTGAGGCTAAAAGGTAAAGTGACTTGTCCTGGATCACGTGGCTAGTGTCTAAGGTAGGAGTTGAACTCAGGGCTTCCTGACTGCAGTTCTGGCAATCTCTGCACTATGGCACCACCTAGTGGGTTAGAGCCACCTAAGACCATAAATTGAAGAGAATACAAGTTGGTGTTGATTGAGGAAGTTCCATATCAGGAATTCCTTATACTCATGAAAATCACAGATCTAGTTTAAAGAAAGAATCTGTTGTTTGGTGTGATTCTTTTGCGAAATCTCTCTTTAAATCGCACAGAAGAGAGAAGAGATTCTTGGGGGCGGAGCCAAGATGGCGGAGGGAAAGCAATGACTTGCTTGAGTTCTCCCCCCAAACCCCTCCAAATACCTATAAAAAAATGGCTCTAAATAAATTCTAAAGCAGCAGAACCCACAAAAGACAGAGTGAAACAAATTTCCAGCCAAAGACAGCCTGGATGATTGATCAAAAAGGTATATAGCGCCAGGCGGAGAGAGGAGCGCAGTTCTGCGTGGGCATGCAGGCCACAACGACCCTGGAGCAGGCCTCAGAGGGCTGAATCATGGCAAATGTGGCGGTTTCCAGACTTCTCAACCCACAAACGCCAAAGACAACTTAGAAGGTCAGTGGGAAAAGTCTGTGACTGCAGTGAGAAAGGAGCTAGGTCTCAGCCGCAAGTCTTGAGCGCGGCGGCCGCGGCTTTTTCCTGAGCTTCCAGTCCACAGACTGAGAGGGAATCGAGTAGCTGATCAGAGGAGGATTGCAGGGATCTCTCTGCCAGTGCTGAGGCAGGAATCTCTTGCTCTGCCCGTGCTTGGATCTGGGTCGCAGTTCTGAAGGGAGGTCCTGGGGGGAGGAGGAGTGCTGGCATGGTGGAGCTTGTTGTGGTGGTAGAGAGGAAACACCTCGCCCCTTATCATACCACCTTGGAAGAACTGAAAATTTTCAGGTCCCTAGAAGTATCTCTGAAAACAGCTGTACAAACCCCGAAGCTTGGGACAGTACATTCTCCACATTGGAAGCAGACTCTTACCTTAACAAAGAGTTTAAAACTCAAGTAATTGGCCAGGATCATCAGTAATCAGCGCAAAAAGAGTCAGACTATATTATCTTACTTTGGTGACAAAGAAGATCAAAACATATAACCAGAAGAAGAAAACAAAGCCAAAGCTCCTACATCCAAACCCTCTAAGAAAAATATGAATCAGTCCCAGGCCTTGGAAGAGCTCAAAACGGATTTTGAGAAGTAAGAGAAGTAGAGGAAAAACCGAGAATGATGCAAGAAAATCATGAAAAACAAGTCAACAGCTTGCTAAAGGAGACCCAAAAAAATACTGAAGAAAATAACACCTTACAAAATAGCCTAACCCAAATGGCAAAAGAGGTCCAAAAAGCCAATGAGGAGAAGAATGCCCTAAAAAGTAAAATTGGCCAAATGGAAAAGGAAGTACAAAAGATTACTAAAGAAAATACTTCCTTAAAAATTAGAATAGAGCAATTGGAAGCTAGTGACTTTATGAGAACTCAAGACACTGTAAAACAAATCCAAAAGAATGAAAAATTAGAAAACAATGTGAAATATCTCATTGGAAAAACAAGTGACCTGGAAAATAGATCCAGGAGAGAGAATTTAAAAATTATTGGACTATCTGAAAGCCAGGATCAAAAAAAGAGCCTAGACATCATCTTTCAAGAAATTATCAAGGAAAACTGTCCTGATATTTTAGAACCAGAGGGCAAAATAGAAATGGAAAGAATCTACCAATCTCCTCCTGAAAGAGATCCCCAAAGGAAAACTCCTAGGAATATTGTAGCCAAATTCCAGAGTTCCCAGGTCAAGGAGAAAATATTACAAGCAGCCAGAAAGAAACAATTCAAGTATTGTGGAAACACAATCAGGATAACACAAGATTTAGCTACTTCTACATTAAGGGACTGCAGGACATGGAATATAATATTCTGGAGGGCAAAGGAGATAGGATTACAACCAAGATTCACCTACCCAGCAAAACTGAGTATAATCCTGCAGGAGAAAAAAATGGTCATTCAGTGAAATAGAGGACTTTCAAACATTCTTGATGAAAAGACCAGAGCTGAATAGAAAATTTGAGTTTCAAATACAAGACTCGAGTGGAACATGAAGAGGTAAACAGGAAAGAGAAAATCATAAGAGACTTATTAAGGTTGAACTGTTTACATTCCTGCATAGAAAGATGATACTTGTAACTCATGAGATCTTTGTCAGTATTAGGGTAGTTGGAGGGGAAAAAATTATATGTACGTATATATAGATATAGATAGATAGATAGAGGGCACAGGGTGAGTTGAAGAAGAAGGGGTCATATCTGGAGAATAAAATTAAGGGGTGAGAGAGGAATATACTAGGAGAAGCAGAAAGGGAGAGGTAGAACAGGGTAAATTATCCCACAAAAAAAAAAACAGAAAAGAAAAGGCTCTTACAATGGAGGGGAAATGGGGAAGGTGAGAGGGAATGAGTGAATCTTATTCTCATAGGATTTGACTTAAGGAGGGAATAACATACACACTCAATTGGGTGTGGAAATCTGTCTTACCCTACAGGTAAACAGAGGGGGAAGGGGACAAGAGAGTAGGGGAATGATAGAGAGGAGAGCAGATTGAGAATGGGAGTAATCAGAAGCAAATACTTCTGAGGAGGGACAGCGTCAAAAGAAAGAATAGAATAAATGGGGGGGGATAGGATTAAGGGAAATAGAGTTAGTTTTTCACAGCATGTCTACTATGGAAGTGTTTTGCATAACTGCACATATATAACCTATATTTAGTTGCTTGCCTTATCAATGAGGGTGGGTGGAGAGGGAGAAGGGAGAAAATTTGGAACCCAAAGTTTTAAAAACACATGTTTAAAAAAAATGTTTTCACATGCAACTAGGAAATAAGAAATACAGGAAATGAAGTTCAGAAATCCATCCTGCCCTACAGGAAAATTGAAAGGGAAGGGGATAAGAGAAGGTGGGGAGAGATAGAAGGGAAAGCAGACTAGGGGACGGGGTATTTAGAATACATGCCATCTTGGGTAGGGGGAGGGGCGAGATAGGGTGAAAATTTAGAACTCAAAATCTTGTGGAAGTAAATGTTGAAAACAAAAAAATAAATAAAAATTACCATAAAAAAGTCACACAGAAGGAATGTGTGACATTGTCCTCACAAATGAGGAATACAAATGCGACTTGACAACTCATTTTTATATGATTATGAATCAATTGTCCATGACCCTTCTATAGAGTGGACTGAAACAGACAGAGAGGGCAAAGACTGAATGGGCAGAGTGATACCGAAAGCAGAGGGGAGGCAACCGCTGACCTGAACGTGCGATGCATGTCATACAATAGGTTATAGCTATAGACGAGGGTTCTTAACCTTTTTCACGTTATGGATCCCTTTGGCAGTCAGGTGAGAGCCCTGTGGACCTTTCTCAGAGTTACATTTTGCAGTGTTATTCACAATAGAAGGAAATGCTAAATTTCTAGTAGCACAGTAGGCACAGAGTGCTGGACCTGCAGTTAGGAAGACCTGAGTTTGAGACCTGCCTCAAATGCTCACTAGCTGTGTGACCCTGGATAAGTCCTTTGACCTTTCTCAGCCTTGGTTTCCTTATCTTTAAAATGGAGATAATAATAACGCCTACCTTACAGGGTTGTTGTGAATATTAAATGAGACTACATCTGTAAAGTGCTTTGTGAACATTAAAACACTATATAAATGCCAACTAATTTGTGTCACGGGTCTCTTTGGCAGTTACAGTGAAAGCCTCTCTGAATAATGTTCTAAATGCATAAAATAAAATATATAAGATTACAAAGAAAGCCAATTATATTTAAATACTGTTATCAGAATACTTTAAAGAAACAAGTTCACAGATATAAGATTAAGAACCCCTGAGTTAGAGGTTAGTGAAAATAAGATGCGATTGTCCCCATCCAAGTTCACAGACCACCTGAAATCTATCCACAGACCCTAGGTGAAGAACCCTGATAAAGACAAAAACCTAAGATGTCTGGAGGTCATTGTTAAGATTCAGAAGTAAGGCTGTGCCATGCCTTGATGAGTAAGCTGGATAAAGCTAAGGAAAACACAAGTCCAGTTAACTCTCCATTTTCCATACTCTAGGTAGGGTGCCAGAAATGGGGCTGATGCAAAATGGCAGATACTTAAATCACTTCTCTTTGATTCTGAAATGCACTTCTCATCTTATATTTGCAAATAGATGTATCTAATATCCTGGGAATTCATAATACAAAATGAAGCCACAAGGATAAAACAAACCAACTGAATAAAAAAAAAGTCTTTAACTTTTTTGGTTTCTTTTTCTCTCTTTGCTGGTCTCTTCTCCCCACTCCATGCTGAGGATAAACAATAACACTTCTCAGGCTGAACAAAAGCACAAGTAAAGATGAGCTTGTTTTACAATATTTATTTCTCGTGGTGCAGAGAACAAGCTTACTTTGCTTGTTAAATAGATGATGAGTTGTCTATTTGGCTTGATTTCCAAACCACTCCTAAACCTGCTGCCACTTCTGCCCTAGGATTATTGCAGAGAATTAAATGTACAATGAAAACCAGCAGAATTTCCCTTGAAGAAAAACTCAAGATTCTTCAGCATGATTTTTATTGCTTCTTGGGAGGGAGGACAGCTGTCTTTTTTCCCTTAAGTCTGGGTTCAGTTCTGCTGTTTACTCTTTGTGTTACCTTGTGCAGGTCCCTTAACTCTCTGGGGCTTAGTTACCTCATGTGTAAAATAAAAAGTCTGGATTAGAGGGATTCTTAATGTAGAGTCTATGAACTCCCTTTTTAAAAAATATCTTGATAACTGGGTTTCATGTAACTGGTTTCCTTTGTAATCCTGCATATTTTGTTTTATGCATTTAGAATAATTATTCTGAGGGGCGTGCATAGACTGTTCCTGAATGCCAAAGGGGTCCATGAAAAAAAAATTAAGAACCGTTAGACTAGATGGTCTCTAACATCTCTTTCAGCTCAGAATTCCATGATCGTATAACTGGAAGAGCAGAGCTATCTGCAAAATTTCAATGAAAGTCAAAAGTTAAGACTGATAAAACATGCAAACTTTTTTTTAAGGCAATTGGGATTAAGTGACTTGCCCAGTTCACACAGCTAGTAAGTGTCAAGTGTTTGGTCTGAGGCCGGATTTGAACTCTGACTTCAAGGCTGGTGCTCTATCCACTGTGCCACCTACCTGTCCCCAAACTTTTTTTTTTAACATGAAAAGTTTCTGAACCAGCTAATCATAAAGTAAAGTCTAGGTTTTTCACAATAACCTTGGGTTGCTATAAGTATTTTAATGGTTTTGCTTTTATAATATATACTCAAATAAGATTATTTAAAAGTCACAGAAAACATAAAAGGAAAGCAAATAAAAAAACACCAAAAACATTAAAAATAATAAATAGGAAAATAATTTTTCCTCACACATCAAATTTCAAGGTTATACTGGCTAGATCAATAAGAGGCTAGCATTCCTAAGACTTTGGCCCCAAATACCTCTTTCCCTCTCTGTCTTTAGAAGCTAGAGTAGATATTCAGGTTGAGGCCTAGTGCAGGGGTGGAGCTGTGGCCCACTACGTCCTTGGGTACAACGTTTTAACTGAGTCCAAGTTTTACAGAACAAATCCTTTTATTAAGGGAATTTGCAAATTCTGTGAAGTTCGGATTCAAAGGGTGGCACTTGAGGACCTAGGCAGCCACATGTGGCCTCGAGGCTGCAGGTTCCCCACTGCTGGTCTAGTGTAAAGATGACTTGAACAAAGTGGTGAGTACTATTCTGAATTGCAGCCGAGTGGTTCAGTGGATAAAGTGCCAGGCCTGAAGTCAAGAAGACCTGAGTTCAAATCTAACCTCAGACACTTATTGGCTGTATGACCTAGGGAAAGTCACTTAACCCTGTTTGCCTCAGTTTCCTTGTCTGCAAAATGAGCTGGAGAAGGAAATGGCGAGCCACTCCAGTATCACTGCCAAGAAAACCCCAAATGGGGTCATGAAGAGTCAGACATGACCAAAATGACTGAACAACAAAGATGACTTGTTCCTAAGTCTATAGAATAGTAAACAAATGCTTAACATAATAATAGCTAGCATTTATATAGTGCTTTAAGGTTTGCAAAGTGCTTTACAAACATTTCATTTGATCTTCACAACATCCCTGGGAGGTAGATGCTATTATTATCCCCATTTTACAGATGAAAAAAACTGAGGCAGGCAGAAGTTAAGGGACTTGCCCAGGGTCACAGAACTAGTAAGTGTCTGAGGCCACATTTGAACTTAGATCTACCTGACTCCAGGCTCGGTACCCTGTGCAGTATGGCACCCCCTAGGGTAGCAGGAGAATAAAACAGTGACTATCACAGTAGACTTGGACCTCAATTGCTTGTTTCTGTTGCACCACAATTTGCATTCCTATCACTCCAGTGATCAGTGCTTTTTTTTTTTTTAAAGTGAGGCAATCGGGGTTAAGTGACTTGCCGCGGGTCACACAGCTAGTAATTGTCATGTGTCTGAGGTCAGATTTGAACTCAGGTCCTCCTGACTCCATGGCTGGAGCTCTATCTACTGAGCCACCTAGCTGCCCCCCATCCAGTGATCAGTTCTTTAGCAGCCTATCTGTTTAGCAGGCTTTTTCTCTCTGACTCACCTTGTCCATCCTGTCTCTTTCCACCCCAAACCTGCCTCCGTACCCATGGGACGCTTTGGGCCCTGCTTCCAGTTCCTTTTTCTTGAGGACATCATGTTCTTCTGACACTTTGCTCCGCAGTTGGTGGATGCTGGAAGTAACCAAATCACAGAGATTCAGGGATCATTGTAGAAAGGCAGTGCGATGTAAAAGAAAGAACATTGGTGTGGGAGTCAAGAGCCCTGGCTTGTCATACTAAAGAAACCAGAGCAGCTGAGGCAGAGAGGTGTCAAAGTAGCAGCTATGGGCAATAGCCCTGGGGTAGACACATCAGTGTTTCTCTCTCCCTGGGGATGCCTTCCAGAAGGAAATAAAAGTAAGGAGAAGGAAAACTTCTGATCCAATATTTGTAAGGCTGACCCACTCCAAAGCTAATTCTCCTGGAACTCCAGAGGGTGGAATTGTGTGATGCCAGGTGAGATCTGAGATGAAACAACATGATTGGGGAGGTAGAGGTGTGTTGGTCATAAGTAGTCTTACCTGTATGTCTGGGCTTCCTTGTGTTTTACATATCCCTAGAGAAGTCTGTTAAAGATTGTTGAGGGGTCCTCCTGAACTTGTCTTTTTGAGTTGCCATATTTTCCAGAAACATTGGACCCAGAGTATGCAATGTGTTAAGGACAAAGCCCCATCCTCACCCCCAACCTAAGCTGGTATAATATGTTGTTTGCATCCCAAGCAGGACTCCTTGTGTATCCTTGGGAGTCAAGACAGGCTCCAGACCTTCTGCACTAAGCTTATGCAGCTGGGATCCATGCAGATAAATAGACCATCCTATCTTCATAGTCTAGCACAGGGGTGGGGAACCTATGGCCTCAAGGCCACATGTGGCCCTCTAGGTCAAGTTTGGCCCTTTGACTGAATGCAAACTTCATAGAACAAATTCCCTCAATAAAAGGATTTGTTCTGTAAAACTTGGACTCAGTCAAAAGGCAGCACCCAAGGGCCTAGAAGGCCACATGTGGCCTCGAAGCCACAAGTTCCCCACCCCTGGGACTCTAGCAATTCTCAAGGGAAAAGAATGAAGCTTTTGCCATTGCCTTGCTCCTCCCTGTCTGGAAGTGTTTTGTCCTTTTCCCACCTGTACTGTACCTTTCCCCTTCCCATGTCACACCCCTTTAGATGGAAATTCCTGGTATCTCCTCCTTCCTTTTTTCTGTTATTATGAAAAAGCAAAATTCTGTGTGGATTGTGAACTCTTTGGGTTCAACATGCATGTTCATTTCTCTTATAATAAACCTAGTTTTTGCCCAAGTCTCATGAAGTTGTGATGACCTGTTGACGAGTCTTATGTGCCTGGTTGCGCTATGAACTACCCAAGGTCTCATGCACAGAGAACACTAAAAGGCTGATTGATGACTTGGTCACAAAGCCAATGACAAATGTATTCTTGACAAAGCATGCGCACATTTAGGATTCTAAGCTATTTCCTTTCTAGGAACCCCTGTCACACCGTGACAGGAATCTTTAAATTGTTCGGGTTTTCCTTAACCCTCACAGCAAGGACGTGCCTGGGTAACAGATTGTTTGTCAGGGAGAAGAGGTTGAATTAGGTACAGAATTTCTGCTAATGCCACTGCAGAGACCAGCACAGCAGCTCAGGCATTAGGAAAAGGAATGAGGGAGTGCTATAAGGAGACCATGGTAGAGGGGAAGCCATCTCTGATTCCCTCTCACAATAGGAAGCAGAGATGACAGGATCAAAGAGGCCTTGTTTTCTGAGGCCAAGTGGATCAGAGGCTCCCAAACTTATTTGGTCTACTGCCCCCTTTCCAAAAAAAACTACTCAGTGCCCCCCTGGAAATCTTTTCTTTAACCCTTTAATGGTTTTTAAAAATTTGTGTCATTTAAAAAAAATAAAATTTATTTTTAAAATGATGCATCTTAAATTTAATAAATTATCATGAATTTGTGTTTTTTTCTGCATTGAAATTTTGATGATGCAATATTGAGTCACATAACCATGTAGTATCATATTGTAAACAAGTCATTATACGCACATATTCCTGCCATTGCATTCTGGACTTCTCAACAATGCATGACAGGCTCACCTGCCAACACTTGCTTGTTAAGACCTGTTGGCAGATTTGACCACTGAACAGTTATAACTTGCATTTTGTGTGTTTATTTGGAAAATAATGTAATCACTATGACTTTAACTCTGTTAAACAACAGATGAAACACGTATGAATGGTTTTTCAAAATTTTCTTCTCTTCTTTCCCCATGCTTCCACCACCCCCTTATTTTTATTCAACACCCCCCAATTATACCTGAATCTACTGCTGCCCCCTGGATCATTCCAGCACCGCCAGGGGGCAGTGTCACCCACTTTGTGAACCTATGATTAGTGAATCAAAAGATAATGCTTGAGAGACCATTGTCATTGTAACTCTACAATGCTTAAACTCCTTGTGTTAAGTGGTTTAGATAGGGTCTGATTAGCCCAATAATAAAGATGTTTATAGATGGGGCCCTGTGTGGGGTGCTCACACCTCATTTTAGGACAGAAAGAAAAACAGTACTTCCAAATCATGGGAGCCAGGCTAGGGGAAAAAGTGGGAAGGAGGAAATCAAAAGATAGCAGACAGGTAAACAACTATCTCTAGCTGCTAGGAGAAAGGGCCTTGACCTGAACCAGCAGCAGAAGGAAACTGGAACTAAACAGAAAATACTGACTTCATATGAGACGCTCTGTGCCTCAGTATCCTTATCTGTAAGATGAGGACCTTGAATAGAAAGAGACTGAAACTAGAAAGAAAATACAAACTTCGCTTATCCTCTCTGGACCTCAGTTTCCTCATCTATAAAATGAAGGGATTAGATTAGATGACATGTAAGGCCTCTTCCAGCTGTAAATCTATGATCCTCTGATACAACAAATTACTTCTCAGAGATCCAGAAGAAGGAAAGACTGGGAGGCTTTCTTGTGGTGGAAATTTGACCAGCCCTGATTTGAAAGACAGCTTGTCGCCAAGGACCCAGGGCCATACTGCTTGAGAAAGAGCCTGAATATTTGCTCAAATGGACAATAACAAGTATTGAAGGGATGCTTCCTAGGGAGAAGGGCCCCAGCTAAGGTAAGTGAGGAAGTCCTAAGGGGGCTCTCTCCCTTTAGGATTGTTTTTTTCAGTGTTCTGCTCCATCTAGTGTTCCAGGCTGCAGAAAAATTGCTGGAAATATCATAGGTCCAATGAAGTGTTTTAGCAAGAACTAAGCATCTCAGAGTGTTGGGAGTCACTCCCTCTTCCTTTCCCTTGTTTCATATGCCAGGGGATGGGATATTTTTGTGTAAATGTATGTAAACCTTATGTGTAGGTAAAATTTTTATTTTTTTATTTGTAAATAAGAGAAAGCAAGAGAAACTTCTATGCTTTTATAAACAAGAGAAACTTCTATGCTTTTGACCTGGAAGGAAGGAAGGAAAGGAGGGAGGAAGAAAGGGAAGGAGAGAGGGAGGGAGGGAGGGAGGAAGGAAGGAAGGAAGGAAGGAAGGAAGGAAGGAAGGAAGAGAAGAAGGGAGGAAGGAAAATAAAAAATGAGAGTTCAGAATGAAACCCAGGCAGGAGAGTAGAGCATAGTTAAAGAAAGAGAAGAGTTTGGGAGAAGTTCAGGGAAAAAACAAAAGACACACTTCTTAGTGACCCAGAAGAGAGAAGCTTGGTTTGGTCTAAGAGTCAAAGCAAAATGGAACTGGTAATGATACACGCTTCTCAGAAATAATACTAGAAAAGAAATAGTCTGATTTGATTAGTCAAAGCTTTACAGACCCTAGTCTTCCTAAACTACATAGACATGAAATTGGCCAACTGTATGTGACATATACATCATAATGTCCTGGTGCCCTGGAGTTACGCAGTTTTGCTGGTATCAGAAAACTATCCTGAGTATTTCGTCCTCCTGTCCAGTACATTGAGCAGGGCCGCATTTCAACACTGATAATTTCCTCCAAGAAGGGTTTTAGGAAACAAGGGGAAGAGCTAGATTCCTGAGATTGGAGCTGTAAACGTTGCTGCTCAGTATAAATGTAATTCTCATAAGGAAAATTCTTAAGCTCAGAATAGAGGACATTTTCTATTTGTCCTAAGCACTGTCCTTACTAGAACATTAGTTGAAGGCCACATATGAATAAAAAGAAATTGCATCAGTTTAAAGGTAGGGGACAATAAGTAATTTGTAAAAGAAAAGTAAAAGTTCAAATCACTTCATTTAAAGTTAAGACTAACAAGCATGAAATTGTGTTAAATGAACACAAATTATCTAGCTTGTTATTATGGCCAGTTAAAAGAGTGAGAGACATCCAAAGAAAAAGGCCATCTTCTTGCCAGCCAGGACCAGAAACCATGCCCTGAGAACTTGGCTCTTTTGTCCACACAACACACTCCTTGGGAGCCTCCTGCTCTGATCTGCGACCTTTACTGGGCTCCCCAGGTATCCTCCCATTGGCCACCTTCCAACCAAGCTGTTATCTCCAATTCCTTCCCCACCCTTGCTTCCAGTTCTGAGACCATAAAGAATTACAATCAAATCAATACTGTAATTACTTCTGGAAAGGGTTTAGCAATTTATTCCCCAATGGCACCACTCTATTAACTTCCCAAGACAAAATACACCTCCCTGGCCACTACTCCCTTATACGTGTTGTGGGCTGAGGATGTGTTTGCTTTTGTTTTGGCACCCTTAGTACTTAGTGCAGTGCCTGGCACATAGTAGGTGCTTAATAAATACATTTTCTTTCTTTCATTCATTCATATACTGAGAAATGAGAAGAGGGTATCAACAGAGGAAAAGAGAGTGGGAGGAAAGAAACTGATCCTTACATTAGCATGCCTATTAATTAGCCTTTCTGCTGAAGAAGCTTCAATCTTTACCCTTTCTTCCTCCCTAACTTTCTCAGATAATTCCATCTCTGCCCAATACTATAAAATAAGTATACAATTTTTAAAAATGAGGTGTACCAGAGGTCAGGTCAGAGGAAGGATCAGTAAATATTTCGTTTGAGCTGGCCTTGGAAAGAAGAATAGGATTTCAAAGGGAAAACAAGACAAGGAAGATGGAGAGGACACAAGAGAAATCCCACATACAGGGAACAT